AGAGCATTCACTTATATTAAAATTTATATTAAAACTACGATCCCGACAAGCGTGACATTTAATACAAATCATCTCAATACCAGTCCTATAGTGAACTCTTACGGGCTGAAAAGAAAAATAAAATCAATAAATATCAATAAAGTCATTTTTTATTTGTTTCCGTCAACATTATAGCCTATTAAAGTCTACTAATGAACATATGCTTTTCCCATATATTGCCTTATACATTTGTGTTAGTTGCTACGCTTGGCAAGCGGGTTGGCAGCCGTAGTTTTTTTTTATTTTTAGTCGTGATTAGGAAGACGCTGCTACCCATCTCCTGATTTGTTTCCCTCCGTCGCCTCTTACGACACCCACGGGATGATACGGGGGTGTGGACATTCTTATACTGCCACTTCACGGTTAGAAATTGCAAATTCAAATTGCAAAAGCAAATTGTTCACTAGCTGTTCCCCACAACTTCACCCGTTTGTAATTTATTACGATTGGACTCTATCATATATTTTTATATATTAAAATATAATATTTATAGTTTTAATCTGTTCACTTCCGGAATAAAGAAAAAAAAAATTTTTTGTTACCGTATGTACATTCATTCGTATGGAGTAAAAAGCTGTTATTTTGACATTACAAACAGACAGTTTCATTTGATTTATTAGGTTACTGAAGCGACAGTAGCTTAATGGCAGGGCTCGGATCGTGAACTCAAAAGGTCGTGGGTTCGAATCCGCCATTTGACTACTGTCGTGAACCACTCCTAACACAAGCATTTTCAAGCTTACCAGGAGTAGTTAAAAGAATATTAGTAATGTTAATTAATAAGATTACTAATATTTAAAGAAACCAAATTTCGGTATAAATATATTTACATTTCAAAAACAAAGATTCAATCGCTCACGGTAATAAACTGCGGATAGATAGTGTCTATAATGAAACATTTTCAACAAAGTATAATTTCATTAAGAAAACTTCATCTTTCCACAGGCATCAAAGCTTTCATTGTTGTGGTTAGACGAAGTATATATCGATAACAGACTAAAATTAAAAGTTTTATTAAAAAAAAAAACATAAAAAAAAACATAAAAACATTTGTATGGATTTGTTAACGACCATAACATTGCTGATTTTTTAATAACATCGCGAACAAATGACACATACTTAGACGAATTGTAGCGCGCTAGACTTCAACTAACCGGAGATGAGCGGGAAGAATGATTAGGGCACGGCTACATTGTAAATGAGCCGAGTCACTCCATAACAAACGACTCCCGCTTAAAGTATATTTAATTCGTTCTATTTTGTACAAACACAGATGCCGATGTCATTTACTAACTAACTAGCAACCCGCTGATTACCGTGTAGTGGTGGTATAAGAATATTCACTACCCCATATCTTCCCGTGCGTGTCGTAAGAGGCGACAGAGGGAAACAAATCAGCAGCATCTTCCTAATAACGATTAAAAATAAAAAACTGGGTTGGAAACCGCAGTTTGCTAGGTATGGTAACTATGGCAAATGGAGGATATTTAATATGAACTAGTCTATGGAATGGCTTATGTTCACCAGTGGACTTCAATTAGCTGTAGCGGTAACGATAACGGAGCCGCCCCGGCTTCGCCTGGGTAATATCGATTCATGTTGCGGTATTTAGATTTAAGATAACGATCAAAGACTTTTTACTGTATCAATTATTCGATATCTCAAAAAGATTGAAGTTTTTTTGGCATTAACTCCTGGAATTGCTTTTTTTTTAATCGTTCAGTTTCACCACGATAGCTCTGGCCGCTCCCAATATTAGCCTGGACACACAGTCAGACAAAAATTGAAAAAATAGTTACAAAGCTTTTTTTTTAAAGGAAATGTCCGCCCGATGCACTAATGCGCGTGAAATGGTTATTTATGTCTTAATAACCAAATAACCTCTTAAAGCTAAATAAAAGGCACTCTTTTCGATATATATTATATAGATTATATTATAAACTTGCACTTCAATTTCATTTCTATTATTTGTAGATGTCTATTTAATAAACTGAAAAAAAAATTGATTGACTCTGCAGGCCATCCCTGGAACTTTCCGCTAATTTCAAATGCAAATCGCTACAAATTTCACAAATTATGTTGTGAAATCTCGAAGTTATGTTAAAAAACGTTTTTTTTTTTTCTTCAAATTCTTTCTCCTTCGATATCGCACGAAACGAATGAACCGATTTTTATTTTCAGAACGACATTCGACGTCATTTCTTAAGGTTAAGGATCAAGTCATAAAAAATTTTGTTCTCGCAAAATTTACAGCAAAACAAATATCTTTTATAGTTTTTAAAAAGGAAAAAGTAAAACATACGTTACATTTATTTAAAGTGTAGGATTTGATATTTTCGAAACTTTTTTTTTTAATTTTATTTTGGTGTTTAAATTAATAGCTTTATTAAGCGTTAAACATGTCTATGTTTAGGTTACATGCGTAAAAGGTCTTATTAAATCATCGTCAATCATCATCAATCAATCAAGAAAAAGTATTCAGATCACATTTATTTACATATTATCTACAATAATCTGATCTGGTCACTTTTTTTAGAAATGCTTTAATTTTCTTATTTGAAGGGCTTAAAAAGTTGTAATTTCATGATGTTTTTACTGCAAATGTCTATTTTTTTCTATTAGAAGTATATCATTAACATTAAGCAATCAATTATTGCAAGAAAAAACCACTTATTTGACCAACACACATTCCAAATATCCACATTATGAAGCAATCTATGATCTCTTATATGGTCTTTGTTCAGAAATTAATTTCGATAAGTTTAAAAAATTTAAGTTACAGCCTATATACGTCCCACTGCTGGCCACAGGCATTCTCACATTTCTGAGAGGGTTATAAGGCAAGGAAATTTTGGTCGCGTTGCTACAATGCGTGTTGATGAAAAGAAAAAAAGATATTTTGAAGACATGTGAAATGTTTTTCCTTCATCGCCGAGTACGTGGTAAGTCAGCACTTGAAATAGCAAATAACAATTTAATAGGTGCCGGCGGGGATCGAACCCGGGTTGTTCGCGTACTGTGAAATTTACAGCGAGAGCTTAGCTTCTGAGTTACCATGGCCATTTTATAAAACAAATGAGCGCTAGGTTGAAAGACATAAATATATCAGACTTCTTACCATAGAGATCACGTCAAGCTCGAGCTCGAGTTCTTGCGGACGGATTACCTGATACAAATGGCTATGTACGCTATGTTGCCTCTCGTTAAGCTATTGTACTAATTGTATCTACGAGACCTACTGAAACAAATTTTGATAAATTATGCATATTAATAAAGAGATGGGCAGCATCATCTTCCTGATAACAGTTAGATAAATATAATTTACCGCTTTTGCTCTTTTGCTAACGCGGTTGTCTTGTCTATGGAGGAGGCCTGTGTTCAGCGGTGTACTTTTGATAGGCTGTAATACCAATATTGTGCATATGAGTAGATACGTAATCAGCGTTTCATAATAAATTTCATTTGACTTAAACACAGTGTGATATCCATCACATCTTATCATGGTGTTAAAAATACGACTCCAAGATATGCAAGTAAATTACTCTGACCTTTGCTATATAGCAATATAACTATAACGCGTACGCCAGAATGAAAATACTACAATTCCATTGAGATGCCTAGAATCTTATTCAGTAACTCGCGCTCCTCTTTCAAGTATGGCAATTACGTCGTAAATTGGTCAGCGCTGGGCCTTTACTATCCGAAGAAGAGAAGAGGTAAGTAGTGACTGCATCAATATAGTCATCCTTGAAAATTAAGTTTAATTGAGATGGGACTCACAGTCTCTAGTTACACCAGCTTTAAATGACCATTAACGATGTTGTGTTACAAGTTTATTCCATTAAAGATACTGCTGTATTGGGGCAGAAATAGATACGAAAGTGGTGCCTGCTCAGAAAGACTCCATGGCAGAAAAACTGTAACATCAAATCGTAACTGAAAGAAATATAAAGATTTTTAAAATAACATTAAAAATCTCCACTTATTAAACCGTAGAACATAATTTTTAACTAATATAAGCTACTGCTTAACAGAAGCCTATTCACTATTATCTCGGTTACATCCACATTATAATCGATTACAAAGACAAAACAATCCATCCATCCATTAGATCAGTGATTCCCAAAGTAGTCTATATTGACCCCTAGGGGTGTATGACAACCTGCAAGGGGTCTACATCAGCGGAAAAAATTTGGGTGTCCATGAAATGAAAGTGGGGGTCCACGATAGTGGATCCCAACACATACACTGATAGTACCTATTTACTTACATCATACTATCTTATAATATCAAAACATATACATTATTTATAAAAGTACCTATGAAGTAAAAAATTTATTATATATGTTTATAAAATTGTGTAAGTTGTAGGATGTTGGTATTCGATTTGTGGTCGCAATACATTTTGAACTTTTAAAAACCTGAGACTCGCAGTCTCAGAGCTTCGCTACCTTGCACTGACTTGTTCAATTCGTCACTCTATAAATACGAATGTGGGACAAATACGTTTATTCGTTTCCTGAATCTTGAAAAGGAAAGTGCTAAGAAAATATTTTAAAAAATATAAACTGAGAGTATATATCACACAAATTATAGTGAGTCAGTGTTATTTTGTTTGAGAGTGCTGGAAAAAAGTAAGCACATTATTTTTTATTACATTTTAGTTTTGTACTCGTAGTTAGCAAAGATAGATAAAGTACGCCAATCATGACTTTAGTTATTAGTAGTTTAATATTCAATCATGCAAAATTACACGAGTACTCCTCAATAGTTTCTTTTTGAAAGTTTTAGCAATCAGTATTATAATTACAGTGCAATTACCGTAATTCGAGCTAATTGTTGCAAGAAGATGTTCGAATTATGGAATGTTTTCGGAAAAATCAAAAATATTTTTAATATACAGCTGCTGTATTTTCTGTCTTATTTAAATAATTTAATTTTTCCCACAGATGACTAATGCCATGTCCGAATCTAAAAAGAAATGTAGACAGTGCAGTGTCGATTATTTGAAATTTGGCTTCATTCCATCATTGCCGGACAAACAATTGCCTATGTGGCTTTTATGCAACAAAGTTTTGGGCAATGACGCTATGAAACCATCTAAACTGCAAGATCATCTGAGAAGATGCCACCCTGATAAAACAGAGAAAGATTTGAAATACTTTCAAACACTCAAAGATAAACTTCAGAAGAGACCTACACTGGACAGAATGTTTGCTTCGACGTCACAAAGAAACGATGATGGTTTGCGGGCGTCTTACAATATCTCGTTACTTATAGCAAAATCTAGAAAACGGCATACTATAGGAGAGAAGTTAATTTTGCCAGCCGTTGAAGAGGTTTTAAAAACTGTTTTACACAAACCTGCATCTGATATCATTAAAAGAATTTCCTTAAGCAACAATACTGTTGAAAGACGTATTGATGAAATGAGTTCTGATATTGAAAGCTTCTTATGTAATTATTTGCAAACGACCCATTTTTCTATACAACTGGACGAGTCAACTTTACCTGATAATGCAGCATTATTATTGGTATATGTTCGTTTTATTATGAATCAAGAAATCTACGAAGAACTGCTCTTCGCAAGAAATTTCATACTTTGAACTGACACTAAAGGTGAATCAATATTTCATGTTTTGAAGAATTACTTCATTGAAAAAGCAATTCCTTTATCAAATATAATATCAGTAGCTACAGATGGAGCACCTGCCATGGTTGGACGTTATCGTGGATTTATAAGCTATTTAAAACAAAATGTGTCAGGGGTGTTAGCAATACATTGCGTCATCCATCGACAACATTTAGTTGCTAAAAATTTGAGTGTTAGATTGCATGAATCACTTCATTTAGTCATTGATGCAGTAAACCGAATCCGAAGCAACGCGTTGAATACGCGGTTATTTGCGCAGTTGTGTGAAGAAAATGACGAACACTTTCATCAATTACTCCTTCACACTGAAGTACGCTGGCTGTCGAAAGGCTTATGTTTGACAAGATTTTTTGCTCTTTTTGAGAGTATTTTAGAATTTCTGGATATTAAAGATAAAATATTAAAAGAAAATTTAATGAAGAGGAAAACAGACATCACCTATTTAACAGATTTGTTTACAAAATTTAATATGATTAATTTGCAATTACAAGGCGACAGTTTAAATTTGATTAAAACAAAGTTTCTTGCCAGAGTTAAACTAATGAAGCAAAATATTGGACGGGGCGAATTTTCTCAGTTCCCCAATTTGTCACAGACAAGCTGCCAGGAAGACGACGTTTCAACTTACGTTCAACATTTAAATGGCCTCTATTCAGATTTTGAATCTAGGTTTGAGGATATTTTGACTATGGTAATACCACCGTGGATAATTAATCCATATGGTGACATAGAAGAAAAGAGTGTCATAATATAATAGGAACTGACTGAACTAAGTACAAACGAAGAACTTAAGGTTCAGTTTAAAAACGGATATCAGCAATGCTGGCTGCAAAACAACATACCCGTTACTTATCCCGTATTATGGAATATAGCGAGGAAATTTTTAATTTCCTTTCCATCGTCATACCTAGTGGAAAGGGGGTTCAGCGCTGTTACCAATCTCCTAACGAAAAAAAGAAACAGACTGGACATCATTAGCCGAGGAGATTTAAGATTAACCCTTACAAAATTGACGCCAAATGTTGATAATTTGTTATTTAAAGCATCAGGTTCATCCTTCTCACTAAAAATATTGACTTATTGCTTATGTTATTTTATTTATAGTTTATTTTATGTTTATTTAATGCAACGTATATTTTACATAACAGATACAAAATTTGTTTTGAGTAGTTTTAATTTAAGTTCAATTAATAAATGTATAAATTAACATGTGTTTTTACTTTAAGTTTTTAACACTAAACTTCACTACAGTTAGAAATTTACAGGAAATCAATAGGTAAGTAGGGGGTCTACCCAACATGGAAAAACATGGCAAGGGGTCTACGACACAAAAAAGTTTGGGGAACTCTGCATTAGAGCCTTTAAAACTACATTGCTGAATATAGTCCTCACCCATATATTGCCTTATAAAGGTTATTTTTCCATAGTTATCAACGACGGGTTCGCAACTGCAGTTTTTTATTATTTTTATTTGTAAGATGTTCCTTAGTAAGATGCTACTGCTCAGCTCCTGTTTCAGTTTCTCCCTGTCAACTTTTATGATTCCAACGGGACGATATAGAATAGTAGATATTCTTACACCTTCTCTAAATGGTTGGCAAAGACAAATGATAGCAAGAATCCCGACTTTAATTTTCTATACATATTGCGAAAGACAAAGCAAATATACTCAGTTAATGTAATGAATTCACTGCTCTCTTTAGTTAACTTTACGGAACGTATTGCTAATGTAAATAATACTGCTCTGGACAGTAAACATGCCACAAAAATAGAGTCTTTAGCGACCATTAAACTTTTCACTGAGTCCGGAGAGATTCGCCTCGAACACAATCTTTGAATTGTTTTATGCAAATTAAAGTATCGCTTTTTTGTAGTTTAAAGTTGAAAATTTTGTTAATTCTTTTATACAACCTGAAATTGAATAATTGTCACCTTTTTCAACTAAGAATATTAGATTTGATATACGTTTATACTAAAATATGCAATTCTAAAACTTTAATATTGCAAGTAAGGAATAATTTAAAAATCTTTTACGTGGTAGAGCACGAATGGGCCGGCTCTATTGGGATAGAACCACGCTTTCACAGAATACTCGCGTAAAATAGCAGTTTAATGCTGCTGTGTTCCGTATGGTGAGTGTAGACAACCGAAGACACTTTTTAATGGAAACGAGGCATTCCATTTCAGTCCTTAGGGGTGACAGCGCATCTGTTAAGTGTAAATGTCTACGGGTCACAGCATCCACCTACCATGAGGTGGGCTGTGTGTTCGTTTGTCAGCCTTATTCTGTAAAAACCATATTTAATCAAAAATACAAAAAGAATAATTAAAATAAAATAAATAATAAACATGAACTATTAAAATGATGCAAATAAAGTTAATCTAAACAGTTAATCACTTACCATCAGGCGGACTGTATGCTCGTTTGTCACCCTTATCCCACATGAAAAAAGGGTACATGGACTGCAACAGTCACTTACCATCACGTGGACTGTAAGTTCGTGAATCACTTCAGTTTGTTAAAATCATAACTTAAAAAACACAATTTTGAAATCATTCTGTTTTGCGTCAGAAATAGGAAAGGTGTCTTACCCGTAATAACTAGACATAAAAGTAGACCTTCAAACTAGTACACCTGCTTTCCTTAATAAACTGAAATTTCTGGTCTAGAAACTTACATTCATTCAATACAGCCGCTCAATGTCTACTGCTAAACATAGACTTCCCCATCAAATAACTATCATAGTAACTATCCAAATTTGCCATAGTTGCCATGCTTTGCGAGCGGCAACTGGCATATATGTATATAACTGGCATATTGACAATTGCAGTTTTTTTATTATCTTGAGTTGATATGAGGAAGATACTGCTGCCCATCTTCTGTTTCATTTTTTATCGCCTCTGACGACTCGTAAGGGTTGATATTATGGGTGATTGAGACATGAGGTAGTAGACTCGTCAAACTCAGACACTTCACCGCTAATGTCTAGGAACTTTTAACACGTAAATGGTTGTCACATAGAAACTTTTTGATTTATTGATATCATAAAATACATAAAAATTATTATTATAAAAAAAGTATGTGATTGATCACAGTTCGTTGCAACTTATAGTAAACAAAATTGAAATATTATTATTTTTTTTTAGAATGTATCGAAAGTTTTTTTACCGTCTGGAAAAATTAGGAAGTAACAGGTGAACGTAATAGAAGACTATGGCACTGATATTTTACAATTGTTTTAGCATTTATAACTATATGTTATGAAATTACTACCACCAATTTGAAATAAACTTTCCGTAATAAAAATAAAACAGAAATTTCGAACTTAATAAATAAATATACTAAAAACTACCGAAATTAAAATAATATGCACTTATTAGTAATCATTGAAAGGTCAACTTAACAATATGTTAATGGAAAAAAATTGTGAAATATCAATGTCATAGCCTTCTATTCCGTTTACCTATTACACCTATTTTTTTCTAGATGGTAGAAAAATCATCTAGTATATGTATAATATACTTCTTCCGTGTACAAAATTATGCTGAGTTAATTTTCTAGTCGCTACGTGATTTCTACAGATTGGCTAATAATTTCTAAAACTCCCGACAAAGGCGATTTACTGAACTTCTACAAAATATTTTAAATTTATAATTATCTTATCCGATAATAAATTTTAAATGTTTATTGTAAGCGTTTATTTAGATCCAACAAAGATGAAAAAATTTAGTTTATCAAAATATATGTGTGAAAAATCAGTTGTAATGAGGTCTCATTTCTAAGAGAATACTAAACATCAAATAAAACTAATCATAATAGATATCATCGCGTTCGTTCATTGGGTGGTAGCGTATAATAATCTTAAGCCTTAAATTATTCATGGGTATTATATAGTCTAAAACTATGTATTCCTTAATCGATAGATCCGTGAATATGTACTCAATTCTTCTTTAGCTGATTTAATAAAGTTTCTAATACGCTTAGCTACGTAAAATCAGAATTTCCTCTTTTCGCCCATAACCGAAAACGCTATACACTGAAAACAAGGCATTCCACCTTAGCCATTAGGGCTGACAACGCATCTGCAGCTTGATCCTTAATCGAGAATAGATGTAGATGTCTATAAGTCACAGCATTCATATACTTATTAAAAATCATCTATTTAAAAATCACTTATTTTATTTAAAAAACACAAAAAGTGTTTTGAGCCAGATTTATTTTTAAGAACTTTATTAAATTGTACTGTACACATCGGCATTTATTAGACATGAAGTCTGTCTTTCCTATTTATAGAGTTAGACTAATATTTTAGATTTGAATTATTCATTAAACCGAGAATTGACATAAACCTTCTTAAGATAAACAGAGGGAATTTTTGGTCAATCATGCAAATCCAATTGAAAGTACATAACTTCGCGCCTTAATTCCCGAGGGGTAGTAAAGTATAAAGTACAGCGAGCTACTCGAACCATGTTTAGCCAAACAATCAAAATAAATGTCTAATAAAAATAAAATAAAAAATTTGGTCGCCATTTCATTTAAATCAACGTCTTTACAGTACACTCTACCAACTAAGACAATCTGTAACAGAGGCTGGTGGTGGGACTACTGTTGTGCTCAGCAGTCTGTCTGGTAGTGTGGTTAAAGTGGTGGTAACTAACTACAGGTGGTAGACAGTTATGACGACTATAACCACTTCTGCCACCAGATGACAGTGTTTGTGCTGTTGTGTTCTGTCTAAGTGATGTAGAGGTCTGGTACAATTACTGGCTATGAGGCATTTATTCTTAGTCCTCAGACAACGTATTTGTAGCTTTCTTTATGGGTGTGGGATAACTTCGTTAAGATACTTGTCAAGCTTGGATACCAAATCTACTAGCCAAGCTTAGCGACTATCGCAAATCTGCCTAACTTAGGAGAAGGCTTGTTCTAAGCGATTACAAGCCTGTGAT